AGCTTTTGTTTTTTCTTAAATTTTAATTTGAGTCAGAAAATTTTAATTTGAGTCATAAAATAAGTTTTTGTTGTATCAGCGGATATTTATGGTCTTGCATTGGCTGTCACACTTATTAATTTTTTTTTTCTTCTTTGCTTTTTATTTTCTTGTTTAAGTGCTTGTAGTGTCATGCATATAGGCTGTTATGTCTCATAAAAATAGCTAAATTTTGCATTAACTTGAAAACTTGTACAATTCTCATTCTTCTCATTTTTTTCACCTCTTCTTATACTTAAAAACTAGGAAACTTGATTTTTGCATTAGAGTTTCTTCTTACCCTTTTTCTTATTAATTTATTTTCAGGATATATTTGGTACTTGGGTAGTAGTAATACTTTCTAAACATAGCATATAATATGAGTTATGTTATATATACATGCAGTTTTATGATACTTATTTATAACCTGCAAATTCTATCAAGAATTCGACAATGGTAGTTTTGCTTCCGGGTCAGATAATTGGGTATTGTAATTAACCTCCCAAAATTGAAGTATTCATGATCATATATTACAAAGGTGTTATTGATTCTTGGCCAATTTCAAGTTTTATGGTGGTGTGTATATATATATATATATATGATTAATTTCTGTTTGATGGCTTTTAATACTTGGTGTGTTCATGAATAGAAATTCTTAGTTAATGTTCCTTTTTTATATGATGAAATGTTTGTTTCTTTGATCGATGTTAAGGACTATAACCAGTTCTGTGGAAAAATCTTTATAAGAGAGAGGGAGAGGAGTCTGTGTGATGTGTGTGTGTGTGTGTGTGTCCAGAATGCATGAATAAGAAAGTAAGAATAGGGCATCTCCATTCAATATGAAATGAACTGAGATCTGATGAAGAAAATATTAGTGTGAGTGTGTGCGCGTGTTTTTGGTGGTTTAAGGAGAGTTCACTAATGAGTAATGACATTTTTGGTATTGGAAATGGGAAATAAGAAATGATTTCTCTTCATTTTCATTTTAAGATTGTACTTAAGGCTCCATTTGAATGCTTTAAAATGAAGGATTTTGGTTTAGTTACAGTTTAGATTGAAGTTTAATATATATTTATTGAATTTTTTTTTTTTTTTTTTTTTCCCATATTTGCATTTACTTCTAGGATAGTTGGCATTGATTGAGTTCTTATTCATGCTTTGTTTAATGTTACAGGTCATTACTTGTTGGCCAGTTTGCAGGGATGGAATTTGGTATCTTAGCAACATATGCAGAACTGTGTAGGGTATGACTAGGATGACTTGTATAGGCTGCTTGCTTTTTGACTAGGATGACTTGATGAAAGTGGTTCTACATCGGTTTTTATTTTGGTGAAAGTGGTACCTTTGTTGAAGGTGAAACTGAGTTTTGTTTATGATGATTATTTTGGTAAATTAACTATTCCAGTTCCTGCAAGTTTTTGAAGCTACATTGGATTTTTTTTTTTTTTGGTTTGATAAATATGTCATTGATATAGTTGAATGGTTTGATAAATATGGTTTGCACTGATTGAATGGTTGAATGAATGTGAGGTTAGATGAATGAATTGATATGGTTGAATGTTTAGTGATGACTCATATGGTTGAAGCATTAAAGTTGAATTAAAGTTGAATGCAATATTTCATGAATAAATTTACAACAAAATTTAAAATACAAGCATGCAATATAGAAAGTTGAATAACATATTCACATCACTATCTAAAAAAATACAATACAGGTTAAGGAGCCAAAGAGAAAAATGCCAAACTAACAAAAAATAATAATAATAATAATAAATAAAAAAATACAATACAAGGTAAGAAGCCAAAGAGAAAAATGCCAAATGAACCACAACGCATTCGGGCAACAATAGGTACTGAAGGTTGAACTTCAACAATTTTTTTCATTTTTTTTCTTAAGTCTACTATCATATTTTCTAGCTCCATTAACCTTTTGTCCTTCATACTCACGGGTGCTTTAGCTCGTTGCAACTCTTGCACCTCTGTCATAAGATCTCAGACTAATTTACAGTAGTACTCAGGCAATTCATCATCTTTCTACCTTAAAAAATCATATGAACCAGTTCTATAGTTTGCACAACCATAAAACCTCCTAACGGATTTCTCTCTATATTTGAAATCTTTAAAGGACTTCTAACTTTACAATGGCAGTAACATTCTTTCACCCTTACTTAGAGGTTGAATATTCCATGTAATATTATTGTATATATGCCTCTAGCTGAAAAAAAAGAGAAATCCAAAGCTAAAGAAATGCTAGAGGAAGTATAGAGAAAGAAAACACTAAAGGTGTATATATAGAGAAAAAAATTATATATATATATATATATATATATATATATATATATATATAAGGTAATGTGCACAAAAACCCTTATAGTATGAGATTCGTAGCATATATACCCCCTTAGGCATTTTAGGAAGAGTAAAAGGGTAAAATAGGTATTACAACACTAATTTATGTCATATTTCTGACAAAGGGGTAATTTTGCACATTTTCAAAAGATTAGGAGTGTTTATTACACACTTTTTCATATAGGGGGTAAAAATGATTCGAAAAGTATACTTCAGGGGTGTTTTCGGCACTTCTCCCTATATATATATATATATAAAAGTACAAAACCAAACCAACTTCAAAAAAAATAAAAATATCTCCAATAAAAATTAAATTCTCAATCTTGACTAAAAAATCATGGAATAGATTAAATTAAAATCCTAAAAATTCGAATTATCACAAATAATATCGTAACTACTTTTTGTATTAGTTTTAGCTATTTAAAGTTGATTTATTAGATCAAATGAGTTATTAGAGTGATTAGAACTTGAGATTGACTGAATTATTTGAATCATGTCTCAAATAATCCTTCCTTTTTATGAAGATGAGCCTCCCATAGTTCGGAGAAAGACATGTTTTAATTCACTAAATCAATCTCAATCTTTAAAAGTGCATCATAAATATAATATCATCAATACAATTGTTTAAAAAAATTAGAATAAATTATTTTGAAAAATTTACCGAAAGCTACAATTTATGGTTTTGAAATTTGAATTATATTTATTTATTTATTATTATTAGTATTTATTTATTTATTCTTTCCTTGACCGGACCAACCAGTGTAGGAATATTTTTGTCTTTAGTGGAGTAAAATATAAGCTTTTCAGTAAATAACGGGGTATAACGGAAATATAATATGACATGGGATGAGGCGTCTATTCCCGTACCCTGCACACAAAACGTAATAAAGAGAGAAATGCAGTATGGAATTACAGCTACTACTACTGATGTTGTTCCCATTGAAGGGGACTCCATCTTTTCCATAAAACTAGGGTTTACTGTTTGATCACATTTTCAGAGAGCAACTTCCTTGTTTATTCTTGTTCTCTAAGAAATACCAAGGTATAATCTCTCTTTCTAGTTACACATCACCATGCTAATTTCCTTCCTATGAAGATTTAAATACATGTATATTTTTAGTACAAACCTACATTTCTTATTTTCTCTGTTTTGTGCCATTTCTTTTACTCAATCTTTTAGTTTTTTTTTTCAAAAATTGAAGCGAATTTATATATATAAAGGAAAAATACAAAGAAAGGCCTTTGGCCCAAACCAACCCAAACATAATAATATAATATGATGTTTCCCATATGTTTTTTTGGCATCAAATAGCATACGTTACGAGTATAAAGGTCTAGGCCCCAAAAAATTCATCCTACAATCTAACTGCAATATGTCCCAAGGGCATTTGGTATGCATATTCAAAATTTTATATTCACGTTTTGAAAAGTGAATGGTCAGCTGATCACGTTTTAACCTCATCACACTTTAATAGTGTGGTAACGTCACTATTTATTTGTTTTTACCAATCATGTCTCATAATGTGCAGTATTTATCTTGCAATTCATTTTATTATTTTAATTTATTTATTAAAATAAATTAACTAATGTGAAACAAATAAAAATAGATAGAAAATGGGACTCATCAGCAACTTTTACTTATATCATTATCTACTTCATTACATATATATGTATTATATAAATATAAAAGTGGAGTTTGGTGTACATAACGGGATGTGGGGCCGTTAACGTGACCATCTATTCTCCCTATACCCACACCAACCGCTCTATCTTTTACTTTACATCCTACGGATCCACTCGAGCCTGCACTCCCATGACGCCCTAGCTAAGGTGAGATTTGTTGGTAGCATTTGCCACAAGCTAAAAATTGTAACGCACCAAAGTTGGTGTTGAGCGTTTGAACCCATTCAATGTGAAATGGACAAATTCAGGATGATGTCGCAAAAGCAAACGGACATTATTTGGACTTAGTCATGTGTGTAGACCTGTCAATTGAGCAGATCTTGATTCGAATTTGATTCGATTAGTCGGATATGAATTGAACAAAAAATTTGATAACCTGATTACGATCCCAATCCGATAATCCGTTAGCCTAACAAATCAAATATGGATTATGTTGATCCGATCAGTTAATAATCCGATACGACCGAATAAAATTATATATATATATATATATATATATATATATTTATCAATAATTTTACACACACACACACATATATATATCTCAATATTCCTATCAGATTATATTAGAGGTAACCCAAAAAAACAAAAAAAAATCATAATATTATATCTACAATAGTGTGGTGTTCTAATCCATATATTAATAAATCTCCTAATATACATACTAATAATTTCATACTCATTATTATTCATTAACGAAGAATAAATAAATTTTTTTTTTCCTTTCCTTTCATATTTTACTTGTCTTTTATTTTATATCTTTTTCTTATAATCATTGTTTTTTTTTTTTTTTTTTTTTCTTTTGACATTAATTTATATTTCTTTTTATTTTTTTATATAAAATTTTTTTTATTTATTTAAAAAAATTATTTTTTTATCGAATCCGATCGGATTATCGGATCGAATATACGTTTATTAACGAATCGGATTCGGATTAACTTACAAAATATCCGTCAAATTATTGAATCGGATCGAATTGACTAAAATGTTTATCGGATTAGAATCGAATTCGGTATGAATCCGATCCAGTTATAGGCCTACATGTGGGAGTGAAAACTATACCACCCAATATGTCAGTTCTTTACGATACACTAACATTTAATGAAGCATCTATCCTGTTATGACTATTCAAGCCTTAGCCATGCGTGAGTGAAAACTATATACACCTTTACCCTACATTTAATTGAATTTTTTTATTACCCATTTTAATCACTGTTATTAATTTATATCATATCTTTATCCATCATTTCCTCTCAACAAATATATTTTTGTATTTTATTTTAGTCATTTTCCCCCATATTTATATATTTAAAGTCCAATTTCATAAAATCTCACTAAATTAATGGGGGTTTGGTCAACATATTCATATTACAATAGACACAGTCTTGGTGGCTTAAAAGTAACCAAATGCTATGCTAGCTCTATAAAAAGCTTAACAATCCCAGATTGAAAAACCCAGATCAGAATTTGTCTAACATGGTAAGTACTCTTAAGTGTTGTTTGGTGTTAAGAAACTAAAAAGTAATGGCAGAGTAAGTGAAGTTGCTTGGGGTTTGGGGAAGTCCTTTTAGCCGCAGAGTTGAGATAGCTCTGAAGCTAAAGGGTGTCAAATATGAATTCATAGAAGAAGAAGATCTGTTTGGGAAGAAGAGTGATTTGCTCCTCAAGTAAGTGGAACCGAATTGCTGGGCTAAGGGTAAGAGGTTCTTCCGTGGAGACGATATTGGATTGGTTAACATTGTAGCAAATTTCATAGCTTTCTGGGCTGGTTTGATCCAGGAAGTAAGTGGAACCGAATTGCTGACAAGGGAGAAATTTCCTCTTTTATTTAAATGGATCAACGAAATTTCCTGTTCAGTACTTAAATTAAGCAAGTAACCAAATGTTATAATGGACGCAGTTTTGTTGAGCAAGTAACCAAATGTTATGGTCCCTCTATAAGAACTGAGGAGCAATCCCAGAATGAAAAATCCACATCAGAATTGAACCACACACTACTTTAAGTTGTGTTTGGTGTTATTTAGTAAACTAAATGAATAAGTGTTGTAATAACAGAGGAAGTGAAGTTTTTTGGGGTTTGAAGAAGCAATTTTAGCCGTATGGTTGAGATTGGTCTAAAGCTAAAGGGAGACATCTTTAACAAGAAAATCCCCTTGCACAATGGAATACATTGATGAGACCTGGAAAGGCATTCCCATCTTGCCTAAAGATCCTTATGAGAGAGCCATGGCTCGTTTCTGGGCTAAGTTCGTCGATGACAAGGTATGTCATATCTTCTCTATATACGCCATGTTACCTTGAAACACTATAGATTGTATAGTTGCAGTTTATGTCATTTTCAACTGGTGTTTTTTAGTGTGTGACTACAATATGGAAGGCTTACTGGAGCAGAGACAAGGAGAAAGAGGTGGCCATAGAAGAGGCATGTGAACACCTGAAAACCCTTGAAAATTAGCTCAAGGATAAGAGTTGTTCTTAGGATAAGAGGTACATGTCACAACATAAGCTTGACTTCGTTATAAATTTTTGAATAGGAACCTTTTAGGGAGAGCATGCCCTTTCTTGGTCACCAAGACCAAAAATATTATTGTTAAGGAATTGTGTGAAAACAACTCGAAAGCTATTAGTTTGAACTCTTGCTTGAGAACTCGAAATATTTCCCACATAAGCACACCAAGAAGACATCAGGTGTTTCGAACATCTCCTCCAGAATGGAAGGCTCACACAGACTAGACAGCCATTATTTTGTTCAACAAGTAATATCGTAATCCTAGACATGTTTGCTATGGCCCTGCTGATAGCTTGTGTTTGTCTAACACACCACTAAACATATGTTGGCAGTTTATATCCCACACGAGCCCAATAAGAAGACACCAGGTAGTTCAATTGTTGACCCCAAAAATGAAGGCTCGTGGACTAAACAAAACACATAGTTAGCTGTAAATCACAATCCAAAACAGTTTGTTCATTTGTGAAGTGTCTTACCAGTATTCTGAGCATCCTAGACTTGTTTTCTATTGCCCTGGAAAAAGCTTGTCTCATCCACAACTAAATATATTTTTCCTCTCTGATTGAATATCCCTGTTCCACAGAGAAGCCTAAAGCTTTATTCCTGCAACATGGGAAGAAAGAAATGAAGTCTCAAACAAAATGCAGGCAGAAAAAGAGAAAATAAAATGTATAGTGACCTGAATCCTTTATCTTGATCACAAGTTCCAATAGATAACGAATCTCCGGTAACACTGCATAATATTCTTTCTCCTGGCTTGTCTCCATTACACAAAATCATGTCTAGACTACTCATCCCTACAGCCTTGGCCAATTGGTCTGTAGCTGGCTGGCTGCTCATGCTTGATTGTTTTCGTAATCACCATTTTGGCTGCTTCCACCCCTGTAAATTTGTAGAAACTTCATACCAATATGCTGAACAAAACAAGTTACAAATTTCTATCGAGTGAGGGTAAAAAAAAAACTATTGCGTTAAAGATCCATGTGGATTATGATCAACTAGTTTTAAATTGCTCAATGTAGATAAAAGACCATGGGCTTTTTTCTTTTTTTTTTTTTTTTTTTTTTTTTTTTTTTTTTTTTTTTCGGATATACAGAAGTGGCAAAAGAAATATATGTCAGAAGCTAACTCTAGTAACTTAGGAGTGGAAGAAACTATGTAGTAAATATTAGTGGAAACCATTCACTCCCTAAAATCAGTACATATGTCTATTGGTGCAGCTTTATCTGTTGTTCGTACGTGAGTTCTGGCAGAAATAAATGAATACCTGCATTTTGTTTTGCATCATGATTGCTGTTTAGCAGTATATACAAATTGAACAGTTCCTGAGAAGGTGAAATATAAAATATAAAATAATTGTAAAGGATAATTCTATCATCTTCTTGCTATATCTACATTAATGGGAGTTGCACAAGCAAAACAATATATATCTATACACATATATATAAATATATAGAAAAATGAGGATTAGCAACATATTTCGACTCAAAAATAAATCTTCAGAGTTTAAAATCTAAAAAACGAAATACAAGAGAGGACAATTACCAGCTGGTAGTTGCAATTTGTAGAATGAAATGTGCTATCTTGTTTGTTTGAAGCAATGATTTGTCCACCAGTCCTGTGAACCTGTTCCATTAAAATATATATATATAAAGTAGTTAAATACAGAGGCCCACAATGAACAAGAAGATAGAAGAATAAGATGGGGTTCTTTGGTAATCAAAAAATTCAGATCAGAAAGGATTTACCTTGTATGTCAGTCTAATCATTAAATATAAACATTTGGGATTTTGAGTTGTTGAAATGCAGCGAGTGACGCATTCCTTCTGGCAGTGATAACAAATTGGGGCAGTTGAAAATGAAAAGTCGTTCGAGTGATTTGAGGTTGCCTATACACACCGGCAGAGTATCTAGATTCTGAATGTTGAGAAGACTCAGAGACTTTAATTTGGAAAGATGAAGATGCGAAGAAGATGGAGAGGAGGACGACATTGCAACTGTCATCATTAAATCTTGTTGTAGTAGCTTCCTGCTGACATTATTGAGATGTAGTTCTTCAAGAAATGGTTGCAAAATAGGCATGCATTCCAGATTAGGGCAATCAATAATGGTTAATTTAGAAAGAGAAGGAAATGACTGGAGCCAATAGGGCTGTGACAAATGTTGTCGTTCAGGTTGTTGCTGCGCTGGTGGGCTTGCAATAGTACTTGTTATTGTTGCTTCTTCTTCTACTTCAGTCCTCCACCATCCCTTCAGATTACGCAGCTGCCAGAGTGTGAGTTCTTTCAAGGATGGAAAGAATGTTCTTCTTGCGGCTGCTGCTGCTGCTGCTCCTCCACTGGATGAAGAGGGTAAAGACGAAGAGAGGGTTTCCTCACCACCACTGCCGCTGCCACTACTACTGTTGTCTATGTACTCCAGGGAACACATAAAAGAAAGACGAAGAAATTGGAGAGAAGGAAGTAGCCCAAATAGTGGAAGATGTTTGCATCTGTCACAGCTGTCTATAGTAATTCTGACAAGATTTGGGAGGGGTGATAAGCCAATTTTGTCAACCATCATCCAACTTGGGAAACTCACTCCCCCATAAGAATATACAATCAGCTCCTTTAGATTCGGGTGTGGACGTAGGGATTCCAACAATAACTCCTCCTCCAACTCATCATCAATCCTATGAAAATCTAATTCCAAAATCTTTAGGTATTCTTTTGCCTCCAAGTAGTTTGTTCCCTCCATTCTTCCCTCTGCTGCTCCTTTAGTGTGTCCACGTATCATGATACTCAACCTTCCCCGTAGATTGTTTAGGTTTTGCAATTCACTCAACTGACTAGATGAGTCTGCTACAAACCTTGTTAATGTCAAAAGATGAGTCAGCTCGCCCAGTCCACAAGGCATCCCAGTCAAATTATTACATTTGTCAAGCTCAAGATGCCTAAGGCTGACCAATTTATTAATATCTCTTGGCAATTCCTTAAGACGGACACATTCATAGAGTTTTAGAGTCTGCAAATTTTGCAACTTGGTTATAGAACTTGGTAGAGTCTCGATATCACTACTAAAACCAAGATACCGTAAATGTTTCAGCTTGCCTAGGTTATTTGGCACAGTTGTGATCTTCGAGTGGCTCAGATCTAACACACGTAACCTTTTAAAAGTTGAAACAATCCTTTCGAAAACAAATTCATCTGAAACTTGCTCTATTCCAAACATTGGACCCTTCAATGTTCGTAACTTGTGAGCTCTAAACAAGTCAGTTGGAATTTCCCATGACAAATCTAAAGACAAATGACGAGTTCTTTCACTAATATTTTCTGCAGTGAAATTCACTACGGAACTCTTAGGCCTGACAACAAATTCTGCAAGGTCATGGACAAGATCATGCATTTTGCAACTTATTATATCACCCCATTTATCTCTTTGTACATCTTGAAATAAGGACCTCCTGAGTAAATCCATAAAATAAAAATCACCCACATCTTCCAACTGTTGATCTTCATACACTGAATGAATGAATCCATGTGCAATCCACATTCGGATTAATTCTTGCTTACTAATCTGTTCATCTTTCAAATATAGGGAACAAAATGCAAAGCATCTTTTCAGATTCGAAGGAAGGTAATCATAACTTAACTTTAGTATCGGAAAAATAACATCCTCTTCTTGGGCTACTTTTGACAAATCATTATTTTTGAAAAGCAACCATTCAACATCTGTATCTTTAGAGTATAGTAGGCCTCCTATAGCTCTTATGGCAAGAGGAACTCCCCTACACTTCTGAACAATTTCCTTCCCCATAGTTACTCGACATGGATTCACCAACTCTTCCCCTTCTTTGAATGCCATCTGCTTGAATAAAGACCATGACTCCTCCTCAGACAAGCCTTCTAAAACATAAGGTGAATTTGCCCTTGTAACATTTGCAACTAATTCAGTACGGGTTGTTATTAAAATCTTACTTCCTCTTGAACCACCCATCAACAAATCTCTCAGTTTTAACCAATTCTCGCGATTTTCATTCCACACATCGTCCATCACAAGTAAATATTTTTTTCCATCAATTTTTGTCCTCAAGTGATTTTGCAATTCTTCCATCTGAAGGACTTTACCTGTTTCAGAACCTATGATTTTTTGTGCAATGAGTTTCACATCAAATGCGTCGGAAACACACACCCACATCTTAAGTTCAAAATATTTGGTGACATCTTCATCATTGTATACTAACTGTGCAAGTGTGGTCTTCCCTAGTCCCCCCATCCCAACAATTGCAACAACCGACACATTCTCTTTAACATTACTATCTAGTAACAGTTCTACAATTTTGTTTTTATCATCATCTCTACCAATAACACTCTCTGCATGAACAAAAGAGTGAGACTCCTCCTTCCTAGCATTCTCAACTCGCATTTCTACAGGCCGTTCAATGAGGTGAAAATTTTTCCTATCTTCAGCAATAGCAGCTAGTCTCTCTCGAATGGCTTTGATCTCATTAGCCATGTTACTACTGAAAACAAGTCGGTTTGAGCTTGAGAAGAAATTGCGTACCTTCTGCAGACTCTTGTTACGAGTCATAACCTGGCGACGAAGAACTTCTGTGGAGAAGTCATCAAGCAAGTCATCAGCATCACAAAATGCATTGTTGAGCTTATCGAGCCAGTCAGCTACCTCGGGATTTGTGGCTTCCTGCTCCTCTACATGAACAAGTACAGCTCTGATTGTAGAAACTGTGTCCTTGAGTTTGTCAAGCTCATTCCCAGCACCAGATAGAAGCCCGATCTCTTGGAGAACCAACAAACCCAACTTCTCTAGGATTTCAGTCACAGTGTTGTAGAGAATTGTTTCAGCCATTTTCTTCTTTGTCCTGCTGAAGCTTTCAATCGGAAGGAAAGTCAAGAATACAATTCACAATGGGAGAATTGGCCGGCAAAACATGTGTACCTCTACAAATAATAGAAGATAAGGTGAGTGTTTGACTATTAGGTGAGTGTTTGACTATTAATATTCAAGATCAAGATTTCTAGTTATGAAGACCCATTATAGTTAAGTAAACAAAATAACTTTAAAACATTTTGTATACAAAGGACTAATGCAGGAAAAATTGTAAAATAATGTGCCATCAAATATATATTTCTGTCTAAGAATGGGGTTCTATCATAGAGATTATTCATCAATAGTGAGAAATCTACATCAAATATACTGGTCTCTCATAATTTTGTGTTGCATCAGTTATCCTAATCTTTTTCTTCCTCTTCCACAATTTTTCCAACAATTAAGAGAATGGAAGTTTCAATTCTCATTTTGTTAGATGGATTATTTATTTTTTATTTTTAAATTATAAAGTCAAAAGAGTAGGAAAAATGTAAAGTTCTCACAAGTGGGTTCATAAAAATAAAAAAATAAAAAAAGGTGATAAAAATGTCTCACCTTTGAGATTAAAAAGATACAATAGGAAAAAGAAGAAGACAGACAGTAAAACTAATCGAATACTCGATAATATCATCTCCTTTCTATATCTACAATCATGGAAGTTGCACAGGCAAAAAAACATATATATATATATATAGATATATATATATATATTCATAAGCAAGTAGTATATTCAAAAACAAAAGATATGGCTTTCAGTACAAAAGATCACACTGAGAACATACCCCCACCACTCAACCAAAAGTCAGTGGAAAATTGAGACAGAAGGCGAATTGAATCCCTCTCTTGTGCAAATTCAACATGGAAGGGTCTTTATCTTGGAATAATCAGATAGGCTGTGGAGGATCCAAGTCCCCAAGAACTATGCTTCACCTTGACATTTGAACAAACACCTTGTTGACAGTCATTATCATGTTGGAACATGATCTGTTCTGTAGGCTCGTACCTCTGCATCCTTGATTACAATAGATGATAATTACTAGTTTTTTTTCTAGCAATGATTCGCTTTTGAAAATAGAATAAATACCACGATGCTATAAAGTTTTTGATCTAATAACTATCTTTTGTGCCAATTATTCACTTTCTTGCGATTGGAATGTTTATTATTATTATTATTTTATCAAATTATTTATTTTTAGTATTACTTATTGATGAGATCAATTATACAATAGATGAAATTGGATACTCTATGGTCCAAAATCTAAGGCCACGAAAACACTAGGCCCAAATGGACTAAACAGCCCAAGAGAAATACAACCTAACAATAATAATCCATTTGCGAAACTCAGACAAAAACAGTCTTGTAACTATAGATTTCCATTTGTGATATTTTCTTATCTTTAGTATAACCCACTTTCAAGATGCATGTTGACCAATTTTTCACTTTAAGGCTCAGACTTTTATTAAAACTCTTGCTTCTTCAATTTCAACCTTCATGAAGAAGATCATCCCCGAGCCAGGTCGTCCAAAATCCTAATTCTTAAATACTATTTTTTTTTTTCTTTTTTTTTTTCTTCAAGTGAGCACAACACAATATTCCTGTAATATAAAAGTGAGTAAGTTAGTCCATATAGTTTCAAAAGTGAGCAATTTACATTTCACCTCTGATCATTTTTCACCCAATGTCATTGTGTATTTACCACACTACCCCCTATAACTAACTATTTTTAAATAAATAAATAAATAAAAATAAAAAGGCAAAATATCTTAAATGCTCTATATAATAAACTAAGGTATTACATGGTCCTAAATTGACTTAAGCGTTGTAACTCCTCATGTGAGTCTCTGTCTAATTTATGTGAACTCGACTGAATGGTTTCCTACTCCTTTTTTCTACTGAATTGGAGAACACCTGTCCATTAACTTTTTTCTCGGAGAACACCTGTCCATTAACTTTTTTCTCATCTATATTTGTATTTATTTATTTTTTTATAACGCTTTCTCATTTGTATTCATGGCCTAGTACAGTAGAGAGGGAAAAAATGAAAAATCATTCAGAGTACAGAACTAACTAGCAACTTATTGAAGTTTCAAGCAAATGTAATCCTTAAAAGCTATTTTAATGTGAGAAATGAGGAAGGTTCTGAGGCCAAAAAGGGATTTACAAATTACAATCCCACATTTCAAATCATATGTAAGAGGGGTTTTGACTGCGTACCTTTCTTGATTGTATTATATCATCGGCTATATTATATTACATTATAGACCATTTGATATAGTTTAGTTTTCAAAACTCTTCTAATAGCTAGAAAAGACAAAAGTGAAAGAAATACACATGAACATATATATATATATATATATATATATATATATATATATATATATATATAATGTTTAAATGAACTGACCTTGGAGGGAGAGCATAGAGGGCAGATGAAAATGGAAAGAAAAGAGCAAAAATAGGTTTAATTGGAACAAAGGAATACAAAAGCCTTTGTAATGTCCCAAATTTTATTTTATTTTATTTTGTACCTCATTTTGAGGATCGTTTGGAACATCTTCTTAAGTTCGAGAGTTTTGAGAATGTATTTTTAATTATTTCAAGTATACTTGAGTTTTCAGGATTGATATTAGAATTCCTCGAAGTTGAGACTAACTTTTGCACGTAGGAATTCTTTCCCGGTTTTTCATTAATGTCTAATATGTTATTGGCATATTATATACATAGGTGTATATATGTTTTTGTGGAAGATATTTTGAGGGCGTTGTGGGGATGTGGCTTAACTTAGAAGGGCATTTAAGTAACTTTGACAAAAGTTATAACCAACCATAACTTGACACTTGGCACAAGGAGAGCCATACACAAAATTTGAAGACTTAGCAACCCAATTCCTTTTTCATGATTCAGCCAACACACTCTCTTTCTCTCTAGCAGTTCTTTTTCTCTCTCTATATCTACATTCACACATATGTCTCCTTGCTTCAAGCCACCATTTGAGAGGTTTAGAGTGAGATTTGAGAGAAGACCAAGAAGTGAGATTTGTTCTACTTGACGAGGGTTATGTTTTGGTAGCACACTTGAGGGCACTAGGAGAATTTCGAAATTTGAGGGTAGAAAATGGCTTGTTTGGCTTGCACTTTTGAGGTAGGAATTTCTAATACATTAAGCTTTGTCTTTCATTGAGGAATTTCTCCTTTGTTTCTTCATTAGATTCATGATAAATGCAAAACTGTGAATAAGTTGTTAGTTGAATGATAGTGTAAAGAAAGCATGCTTGTTTGTGGTCTAAAATGTGCCTTATATGCTAAGTGTGATGCATAATACTTCTAAATTATGAGAATGCTAAATTTACAAATGCTTGAATGATTGCGAAGAAAGAATTTCATTGATGAGTATGCTTGTATTTGATTTCCTAAAAATGCCATGATTATGCCATTATTGTTATGAAAATGAAATTGAAGTTAAGTTGATGCCAATGATTCATATACATGACATGATGGGAATGGTGAATGGGTATACTAAGTGAGCCAAAATGGAAAGGTTGTGAAATGGATTTTGTAATAGAACTGAATTTCGCGAGTCCAATACTAACTTCACTTAGAGCGAGCGTGTGCCAGTTATAAGATGTATAACATTGATTACTAGGCCCCAAATGGTCGTCGGATTTGAGGCCAGGATAGCTAATCAATCTCATCTTGGTAAAGTCGGTTATCAAATTTTTAGTGTGAGTTGGGTTGGTTTGAAACCAAGGTTGGGACAGTTATGCATTGCATTGCATTTTCATGCACTTATATGAGAAAGTGTATAAATGATGTTGTTTGAATTGAATTGTGATTTAGATTTCATAAAAATCCAAAAGTATGCTCCGAGATTCTCTTAAGCCGTTTCATATGTTGTTTGACTCAAGGGAGTCTAAAGTTGATGCCTTAGACATCACCGACTGAGCATTATGCTCACCATTTCTTTAACATTTTTCAAGTTATGGCAAGAACGTTGTGGACGACATACCATTCTAGACGTTGATGAAGAAACTATCTTTTGTAATTTTTGTACTAATGCCTATTGCTTGACAAGTATTTTGTAACGTGAATATAATTCGTTATTTTTATTTTTATTTTATTTTTTGATAAGAGACATTGTAATCAAGATCTTAAGGGTCTCAAACTTATAACCTTATTCTTTTGGGCCATTTGATATATTTTGAATATGCAATGGGAATGAGCCACATTTATTATTTTGTATGCTAAATTATTGTTTCACGTATGTATATTTATATACATACACACACACACACACAATTGCACGTTTTATTATTGTATGGTTGGGGTTTGGACAAATTGGATTGTAATTGGAATAGATTAACTACACAAGTGACAATATTTGGGTTGTAAAAGGACTCTTTTCCCAAGGGTCAAAATTGCTTCTTCTTTTTTTTTTTTTTTTTTTTTTTTTGGCATTCTTTGATCGAACGTAGAACCTATGACCGATCGTCCACGTTGCAAAAAATTATTTTTTGTGGCTTTTTACTGTAGTATAGTGAGTTCAGGATTCTACGTCCGGAAGTAGCTTGTCAAGTTGGTCACCAGTGTGCGGCGCCTTGCGCGCGCTGGGGACATAGGGCACCCTACGTCCGGATGTAACCCACTATCTTAGCCATTTTCTTCTCTTTTTCTTACACTTTCAAACCGAGTTTCAAATAAACATAGCACGCTCGTCTCAAACCCGAATGTAGTCATTCTTAAGTCTAAATTACATGTTTTTTATTCGCCTTTCAAATGGTATGGGTATTATTTCATAATTTTAACTTGAAATGACTATTTTACCCTTGTCAATTTTAAGGTCCCGAAGTGAACTCGAAGTTAAGATTATTATTCTTTTATGAGCCGATGTAACTAGAAATGACCAGTACGACTTCATTATGACCCTAATGCATAGAAGGCGCATAATGACCATTTTACCCATAGGTTCCTCGGGTTGAGTTAGCACACGGTTAGCATTTTAGATGCTCGAGTTTGGGTCGTTACAGCTTTTTTCTAAGAAGATGGGGTATAACAGTCATATTGGATGATACTTTCGGGGATTCATAAAAAATAATCAATCATGTGCATCACAATTTGGAAAGAAAGTGGTTTGAAGTAAACTGTAAGGGGGAAAATTGTTCACTTTTGAAACTATTGGGACTAACTTGCTCACTTTTATACCATAGGAAGGTATTGTGTTCACTGTGTCTTTTTTTTTGTTTCAAGGCAAAAAGTGTTAGATATTAGATTAGCAGATGCAAAAAATAAAAACTTGACACTCCAAGATTCACGGGAGGCACTAATCTACTGGGCTATCGAGACAACTACAATTCTCAAATACTTGGGAACGACATATAAAAAGAAATTAGTAGAAAAAAAAAAAATACCCCCTATTTTAAAAGTAAAAAAATCAGCAAATGTGGTTACAGTTCCTTTTATGTAATCACCAAACAATTGTCACATGTTAGGGATCGGAAGTTAAAGAATGAGTGAGTTAGATTTCATACTTCTCTTTTCACGATTTACATTACTAGTGATTACGATTTTTTAAATTAAATTCTCGTGTATGCTCTTGGAATATGTTTACTCTTAATAGTAACAATTCTAGTAGAAACACATGTAATGAGTTTTCTAATTGCTATTACCAAAAGTTTCCCATTTGTAATATTAACCAATTGAACCCAAGGCAAAAGGACAGGCATGCATAGTAGTGATGTTTAAATCACATTTTTGTTGACTTGTTTACACGTGTATCTAATTTCTTAACGGTCAAACAACGTAAAGAATACTATTAATGTTAGGTCTTAAATAACCAGATTGTTTTAGTAGTTTCAATTTTTTAAATCGCTTAGGTATGCTGGACTACCCCACACCTATACAAGCAAGGTTAGCCTAGTTGACCATATTCACAATATCTCGAATTGTACATCTCTCCCCACAATATCAGGTTTTTCCTCTTCTAACTCTACATTTTTTCTTTCTACATGCATAAAAGGATGGGCAATCGAGAAAGGAAGCTGACGAATGTAGATTTCTATATTTTGTTGTATTTCTCTT